CAAGATCTGAGTACTTCCACTTTTACTCAAGTACAACATCTGAGTACTTCTACTTTTACTCAAGTACAACATCTGAATACTTCTACTTTTACTCAAGTTCAACATCTGAGTACTTCTACTTTTACTCAAGTACAACATCTGAATACTTCTACTTTTACTCAAGTTCAACATCTGAGTACTTCTACTTTTACTCAAGTACAACATCTGAGTACTTCTCCCACCTATTCTTAAACAGGTTGGACTGCTCTTGTGCTTCTGGCTTTATTTCCTCATGTCATATTACTCTCACCATCGCACATTTGCTTTGTCTCAGTGTGAGCTTTTGCAGCTAACGTGAAAAAAAGCCCTTCTTTTGTGGATGCTGCCGGATCGATCCAACACGTCTGCTGCTGACCTCTCGCTGCTGATGGGCTCTAAACATTTTCCTCTCTGTCTTTGTCTCGCTTCGCCTCATCTCTCCAGGTTCACGATGACCTGCTGTACGACTAGCATGACGTATATAAACGGTGCTTTCTAAGGATGTGACTTAATATCGTGTTGTGATTCAGAAATTGAATGATGCATATCTGGAGCAGTAAAAAAAGGTTTTTCAATATGAACCAAATCGTATCAGTTTGCATTCAGCGCTGCAGAGGAGGAGGAGTATTTACATAAAGAGTCCTTTTAACTCGTGTAAATTCAGTGGAAACAACTTCCCTTGAATACATCACCCTGAGTCAATATGAATATATCTGTCTCTCTATGGCCTTTGTGTTCATTAGTCCTGCCTCTAAAGATCCTTTTTGCTTCATAACATGGGGCTGAACATTGAAAATGCAACACAGAGCTTTTGGAAATGTCATATTTGGAACAATGCTCTTTGGAATATGTTTGTCCTATGCAGAAGTATACTTATTTGAGAATGTTAAGCATCTAATAATAACTAGAAGAAGTTACGGTGGCACGGTGGTTTCAAAGCCTTGAGTTTGGCATTTTTTTTTTTTTTTACAAGTCTTTTTATTTCATTATAGTGTACAATAATCGATGCCATTTCATATATTGTAATATCACAGTACACTCTCAGTACACTGAGTATGGCATTTAATACATATTAATAATGTGTATTTCTTTTTTTTGTGACAGGAGAGGGGGAATAGTACAACTAAGTGCTGATTAAAACATTTTTAGGCAATCAAAACCTTCAAGTGAACACAAAGGGAAAAGGTTATGGTCACCCAAACCGGACTACACTCAATCACAACTCGTCTAGATTTCTCGAAATATAGACAATAATCTACAAATGAACGTTATGTTCTTTTAAATACGACATTACCCGAGCATTTAAAACCATAAACTCATCAGGTAATTGTTTACAGAGGTCAAGTGAAAAATAGAAACATTTTCTCATAGACTTCTATTAAATCTGACATCCATACTTTTATGATCCGGTTGATATAACCTTTTGTTCAGTATTATAGAGATTAGGAGTATACGAGAAAATCTCTTCTTATTCACAAAGTTTATTTAAGTTGAAACTTTCTTAAGTGTGTGATCAAACACACCACTCTACACACTACTAATCACGTATCAGACTCAGCTCTCACTGTGATCACTGATTTCAATCACTATGGCAGACGCTCTAATCAAGCCTTTTCCTGATATACCTTTTTCAAAATGACACAAAAACGTCACCTATTAGAATTGTATACGACCTGTTCCTTCCTTCTTCTAATATACGGTATCATTATGTGGAACAACCGTATAGTTGAACGTTTTGACGATCTTCCAACAAAACGGTTTCAAAACTGGACAAAATTGAAACCTCTAATATCTGTTTTCAGTCATCCTTTCATATTTAGGGGTCACATGGTTGGCTAAGTTTGCCGGTCCATCGTCAGGCGGCTTCACATTGCAAAACTATTAAATATTCATGAATACACTTGATAATCATAAAACGCACGTTACTCCAAAGCTCCCCAGAGGCAACAAACAAAATGTGTGTTTTGTTCAATATTGCAAACCACATTTTGTGGTATCCACAATTTAACGCCGGCTTTTTTTATTCAAATTCATATTCATACTATAAGCAAGGCGGGTGTAGCGCTCACTAATTCACCAGAAAACACAAGTCTGTCAGTGCACTGCAAATATTTAAAATCTTGCCAAGTATGTTTCAGCAGGTCACCCTTGAAAAAGAGATCAATGACCTCAATGGGATTCAGCTGCATAAATAAAGGTTTGAAATTAAATGAAATTTTTCTAATTTGTAGTCAGAATATGTCGTTATATTTGGTATAAAACCTAATGACTTAAGTCTACTTTAAAGGTCACCCATCATGCTATTTTTAGGCAATAGCATACTGTAGGTCTCAGATATATAGAAATGTATACAAAACATGTCTTTGAAGTGTTTTGCTCAAAATACCAAACAGATCACCCATTTAGCCATGCCTCATATCCCTCTATTTCACTTCCTGTTTCAAAAGGGCTGATTTAGGGAATAAAGCTTTACAAAAAAAAAAAGATTGATACAAATAAAGAGGAGGGGTCTGAGCTCATGTGGGACCCGGCAGCTACTGTCTAAACCAGGGGTGTCAAACTCAATTTCATCGCGAGCCACATCAGCATTATGGCTGCACTCAAAGGGCCGGTTGTAACTTTAAGACTATATAAAAATACATATATAAATATATAAAATAATGTATTATATTACATGATTGCCTCTGCATTGGATTATTATTGGATAGGGTAATAACTTCATAATTAACTAGGTCTGAAAGCAGAAGTCTGGGGCAAATAATTGCAATTCTCTTCAGAGCGCATGTCACAAAATGATTTAAAAAGAAAAGCCAAATTCTGGAAAACAAGTCACAATCAAAAAACAGAAGTGACATTTAAAAAAAAGACTCAAATTCTGAGAAAAGGGCACATTGAAAGAAAAGGCATATTTAGAAGAAAAAAAAGTCAAATTCTGAGAAAAAAAGTCAAATTTGAGATGCATTGTGGGACACGTAGTTTATGGGCAACGTGCTTCTGTAAATCATCATGTAACCGTATAATAAACATATCATATTCTTTGCAAGCTCTTGTGGGGCCACAGCAAATTAAGTCACGGGCCGGATTTGGCCCTCGGGCCTTGAGTTTGACACCCCTGCATTAAACAGAATAAACACAAATTGAACTTGAAATGGATCTGGTAGAAGGTAGTCCTTGAATCAAACATAAACTGTTGTTGCATCAAATGGAACTCTATTCTATTACTAGCTGTAAATACAGAGGCTTGATGATTGAAAGCATTTAAGCATTTGTTAAGGAGAAAACACACTCCAGTGGTAATTGGAATTAGGCCTCTCCTGTCTGTTTTAATTTTCTCAGAGAATTCACTTCTAGTTTTGTGGAAGTAAGCAGCGAGGCCTGTCTCCGAGGAGTGGGCCGACCTGCTGCAGACGCTGAGCGCTTCATTAATGCTGCACACATTCATTAGCTTCATTAAACATGTTTTGCATTTGAATCTTTAGAACCGCCCGCAGGAGAGGCGAGCGGTGAAGGGTGGCGGGGGGTCACCAAAAAGAAAAGATAGCATTGGAACCTCTTCACTTCCTTCTTATGTCCTCCACATAAAGAGCTAGAAAAAACAACCACCAAACTCTGCGCAAACAATAAAAGGTTATTTCAAGACAGTCCGATAACGTTCAGCAACCAGCATGAGAAGTCTGAGGGAGATAGATGGACCTACTGTGTAGAGTATGTGGAGGAAATGATGACATGTAAAGGTCACTGTGTGTAGAATCTCATTCAGTAAGATGATTTATAGTGAACTGATGAAAGTAGAAATGAATTGATGAATTAGTTCTGATTAGTTTTGATTAATATGTGATTTGATAAATAAAAGCAGTCACTATGTATGGGCTTTAATTCATAAAAGTGATATGATCCCAGACAGGACAGAAAAGATTGGAGAAAGAAAACGTAAAAAATAATAATAGTAAGAAGTGCATAAAACTAGAAAAAATAATAGAATTAAGAATATAAACTATAACATCGTAATGCCGTTTATGTTTTGAATGTGCATGGGCGTAGGTATTTATGAACTCCACAGCAAACAGTCTGTCAGAAGCTTTGTGTGGTTCCAGAGGCAGCTGTATGCACTCTGATATCTCAAGTAAAGACTAGCAGTTTGAACATGAGATCGATCTGCGGTAGAGGAGCTACATTAGTCACTTAAATACTCTGACCGAAATGTCTTTGGACGAGGTGCCAAATGGACAATGCAGGCGCATGGTTAGGTAAGGAGGGGAATGGGTGGAACATGGAAGATGATATCTCTGACTCTAATGCATCCATATTGATATTATTTTTTGTCCAACAATGTTTATAGGAGTTTGATGATATACACCTAGAAAGGAAAATACTTCATAACATAAACACTGGCCTGTTATAGATCACACCTACCCCTATCAGCGCTGTACCCATATGTTCACCAGACGTTGTCAAGTCACCACTTCCTTCTCTTTCCTATCTGTTGAATCACATAAGCTTTATGAATTGCTTTAATAGAGACTCATCTTGCTGTTACTGTGCTAGGAAGTAAAAGCCCCATCAAATCACTGTATGGTAACACTGGGCTCAGGTTAAGGGACTGCCATCAATACATACTTAGCACTGTCAACAATAGCATCAGGGCCGGCACCATGTGACAGACACACTGTCAGAGTAGGGGAGTTTTAATATCCCAACGTTGGAAAGCATACATTCAGGGAGCCCATGGTACAGGGACTAAGCAGAAGGCTGAGGGGTCACACCAGTGCAACCTTTGAATAACAATGTCTGACAAAGTCATCACAACTCAAAGACCACATAGTAGCTTTCTGACTATATGTATATTATTAGAAGCAGAATGCCAGCTTCCTTTGGCTACTTGTTGATGGATTGATCTACTCTCAGGAAGTGATAGGACCAGTTTCAGTTGACTGCCTTCTAAACTGTTCTCCCTTCATGTAACATGCAATAGAGCCAACACTCAAAACACATTTAGATATCTACCAGGACAACTTAAAGTCAGGAGCCCCTCCTGAGTGGTAGTGTGCTTATGACAACAGCATGACATCCCATCATAGCTGTAGGAAAGAAGCATCAACCGTACATAGTTGGATTTGCTTGAAGTAAGTGGACCAAGTTATCTCAGATGTACTGATCCAAATGGCCAGAATGTACTCCCTTGTGTACTCCCTCAAAGTGCAATATAATCACCAGGTATATTCTACTTTTGTGATTCTATCCCTTGAATTAGGTGACTCATTTAAGAGTACACAACAAAGCTATCCGAGCATATTACGAGGAAAACCCAACCAAAGTGGAACATCTCTGAAGGGACATTCAGAGTAAAGGAACACTCAAATGCAGGAACAATCTAGTCCTTACTAAACCACAATCTACCATTCTAGAAGTCACTCCATCCGACACATGCAACACACTCGATGCAATCATAACAACACCACACACACACACACACACACACACACACACACACACACACACACACACACACACACACACACACACACACACACACACACACACACACACACACACACACACACACACACACACACACACACACACACACACACACACACACACACACACACACCATTTCAGTAAATACAAAACATTAATATTATTGCACTGCAACTACTATGTGGTTTTGTTGAAACAGTTGATCTAAAAGCACTACAGAAGCTATCAGAACCTGAGGCAGTAGTGTGTTATGTTCTATTCAGCTAACAGGAAGTAGCATAAATGGCGAGGTCAATAGTGGAATAATCAGGGAAATAGGCAGGAAGTGATAGTAAGCCAATCAGAGGTGCTAGCTAGAGGATTCAGCAGATTTGTAGATGGGCAGGGCTGGTAGCTATACATTAGGAAGAGGGCGGGATGGGCAGTTTTTTTTTACCCAATCACTGATGACATGGAAGGGGGCTTCTGAGATTGAGGTGTTCCTGATTGGAGAGCCCTGAGTGAGAGAGAGGGGATTCTGTGCAAACTCAAACATGACATCAGACAGCAAAAACAAGAACAGTTGAACAGAGAGATCATTGAAGAAAGCAAACATTTTCAGAGAGAAAGAAAATAACATTTGAATGCACCAACAATGGCAATGGAGACAAAACAGCCTGCTCTGTAGAGTGGAGCAGGGCTCTGAGGTTTGACCAATGGCTGTTTGAAGGTCTGATACTAACAATGATATTTAAGACTCAAGCTGTTAGTGAACATGTTCTTGCGTAAAAAATGTATGTGTAAGTTAACTATTTATGTTTATAACACACTACTCTGACAATGTACGAAGAAACACGTTCTTTTATCAAACCTATAAAGGATCACTCCAACATTTTGGAAAATATCTTTGTTTGCTGCCAAACCCACAGTCACACGAGGCAACTGATACCGTTTCTGAGATCAAGCAATCTATAAGCACATACATGCAGAATCTGTAGGCAACAGATAGGACTTGGTATTGGAGGTGTTCCGGTTTCAGTTTGAAGTCTGAATAGTACTGACTAATAGTTTTTGGGCTGGCTTTTAAATGGCCGTAAATTGTCCCTGTGAGGAGCAAAAGAGGTGGAAGGCAGCGACTGAAATGGTATGTCAGAAGACATTGGATATGCTCTGACAACAATTAGGCTTTTTATTAGCTTATAATTAGCTTGTAATTGACGTGAACCGATGAGGTTGTACATGCCGTCTCTAAACTACTCCTGTCTCGAATCTTGACGATAAACATTGTGAACAGGACATTTAGCCTGGATTTCTGCTGGCTACACCGGAACTTACAAAATAATATGAATTGTTGTCATACCTTTAGCTAATGGGTAGCGATTGGGTTTTCTAGTGGCTTAAAAAAGGGCAGAAGCAACCTGACTCACAAGTCAAAAGCAACAACTTTCCAACAGCTCCAAAGATGTCATGGTGACACATCATCGCTAGCAAATGAGATCAATCAGCAGTTATTGCTCCTTCTAGAGTTAGGACAGTTCCTGATCTGGGAGTTTTGACCATTTACCATCATTCATCCACTGCCCAGCAGAACCCTATACTGCCCAGCAGAACCCTATACTGCCCAGCAGAACCCACCCTATACTGCCCAGCAGAACCCCATACTGCCCAGCAGAACCCTATACTGCCTCCTTTCACCACTTCACATACAATGCTAGCTTTTCACCCACAACGCTCTTCTCAGTGACAGAAGACCATTGTGTTGTGACGAAAAATGTATTCATAAATCAGATATTTAGAAGATGCACATCATCACTGGAAGAAATAGAATAATGTATCACGTACAAGAACACACATGCTCATACTGTATGTCCCCAGAGTGCTTTGCGCAAAAGGAGCTTGAAATAATATGAAAATTAAGTTGTTATGATCCAGTTGCTACTAATAATAAAACGTTGAAGCTGTTGGAGGGTACATTTTGAATGACTTTAGACAGAGCTAGTTTAGCGGTTTCTCTTGCGTTAAGTCTTCATGCTAATTTAAGCCAAACACCTTCTCCACCTATCTTTGTACTAAACTAAACTAAACAAAGAATTATATAAAGGATCATTTTGATGTCATAATCATGTTAATACAAAACCGTTAGTGTTCTGTTTTAATATCATATCATTGTTCAGGTAAACCCTATCTGTATGAATGCACTGTCAGCAGTTACTTGGCTAAGTGCAATGTTATTCTAACCAACACAACCAAGGCGCCAGAAATACAAAAGTTAAGATGCAATGTCTTTTTTTTCCTTTTCTGAAATGTTGAAGTGATAGTATCATGTTGTTTTAAAGCCCTGCTTCCCTCTACTTGAAATAACCAAAGAGGAGAAAAAAGACACAATGGATTTACAGAACTTGACATCAATAGCAACACCTGTAAACAGAGAGCAGCTTGAGGAAATGTGATGCATTTCAAACTTAAAAAAAGCAATGAGATGAGTCATCATCTTGCTCAGTCTGAGCAGGACCAATAACCAGACAGCTTCCCACATCCTTGTTCTTTCCCAATATTTTAAACCCCAGATGCACTGGCCATAGTCATTTTTTCAGATCGTTTTTTTGAATCATTCATTTCCAATTGTCTTTCTCAGTGTCTTTAATCAAATTTGCCAATGTTTTTAATGATGCCGCCCCCCCCC